TCCCGAAGGCGGCGTGGTTGCTGGCGTAGGCGTAGCTGGCGTGGCTGGCGCTACCTGAGACGGCGTAGTTGCATCCGCTTTCGGGCAATCCGCTGCTGGCGTAGCTGCCGTGACCGTCGGAGGCGGCGTTGGCGGAGTCGTTGCCGTCGCTGGGGTCGAAGTAGCTGCCGTCGGAGGCGCTGCCGTAGCTGCCGTCGGAAGCGCTGCCGTAGATGCCGTCGGAGGCGTAGCTGCCGTCGGAGGCGCTGCCGTAGCTGCCGTCGGAGTCGTTGCTGTCGCTGGGGTCGAAGTAGCTGCTGACGACGGCTTTGCCGACGGGCGCGGACGAGGGATCATCCTGCCGTCCTCGGTCTTCACTACATCAGAACCTTGCGCCCCGTCATCACCACCTTCGAGGTCGACGATGATGTGCTTCTGCGGCGCGGGGCTAGTGAGCTTGGGAAGCCACGGCGAAGGCTTGATGACCTTCTCGTCGTTCGACGCGACGTCGTTCTTCTCGAGCCCCGATGCCAAGTCCAGATCCGCTGCCAAAGTCGGCCCCTCTATCTGCCGTCGATGCAAGGCGTCCAACTCGCCCAGGCTGTCACACAACATGCTGTCGCTGAGACCGAACTGAGACTGGGATGACATCTTCGAGCTGGAGTCGGAAGCTCGCGCAGCTTGAGCCGAAATATGGCTAAGGAAATTTACGAGTGTTATTCGTCGGGGCCCGATCCATCAGGGAGCACGGGATTTGGCGCTGAGCTAAGCTATGCCGTGCAACGATCATCCTGAGTTGTTCGTGCCCTTTGACGTGCACGCTGAGCTAAGCTATACTACCACGTGCAACGATTATCTTGAGCACGCCGAGCTAAGCTGCACCACTGACTTGTGTAACGTTTTTTTGAACGCATTTTGTGGGGGGGGGGGCTAAGCTAAGCTATAATACCATGTGCAACGGTTACCTTGAGCACGCTAAGCTAAGCTAAGCTGCATCACCGACGTCGTTTTAGTGAACGCATTTTGTGGGGGGGGGAGGGGGAATAATATGAGGAGGAGGACGGGCGGACGGACACCCAAGAGGAGGAGTGGGAGATGACACGTGTGCGGAGACAAAACATATCAGCACAGACGCAAACCAGGATTCGCTATTGCAAGCGTGGGCGCTTAGAACTTTCCTGCCGTCCTCCTTTTCCTCCCGATTTCTCCATCCATCCCCCCCTGCCTTTCTCGTCCTTACCACGTTATCCCTCCATGCTTCTGCGAAGCGCCCCCTATCCCATACCCGCATATCCTCATGGAGCTGCTCATCATCAGCATCCTCAGTATCTTCGCCATCACCCACCTCACCCTAGATTTTCATACTCGCCGTCATCATCTGGCTTCCCTCAACATCTAAAGTTAACGTGAGAAAAGAGACCGTGCGCCTGCGTGTCCCATGGCACTTGTCACGAAGCACGATCTGCAAATTCGGCGTCAACGTGTCCATCAAGATCTGAATGGGCCTGCGCATAAGTTCAGCACCCAACACTTCGTCAGCAGCAGCGTCAACGGTAACCATATGAATACGACGTCGTACAGTGTTGTCTAAACCAGGAACGTGTTCTTCGTTTCTTGAACCGATGTACTTTGTAGAAAACTCTGTTATTATCTGTTGTGTAGCTTTCACGATGCCCTCACCACCAGGGGCAGGATTCACAACCATGCCAAGCATTCCAGATCGAACTTTGAGGTCAGCGTTTACTGCAACAAATCTGCAAACCAGACGGCTCTTGCGAGCATCTCGCATCAATGATATCGACTTAACTGTTCTGAAGAATGATTGGTCTTTTCGCTTCGAGGCTTCGCCTAAGCAGGTAACCATTTTTCGTAGCTTTCCACTGGATCCAACTTTCTCCAAACCTTGATGGACTGAGCAATTTTGGAATAGAATATGGTCAAGAGCACGACGAAACTCACGAACAGGTGGTGCAAAAGGATGGGCTCCGCCAGTATTTCTTAGATAGTAGGAAACAGCTCTTCGGTGGAATCTACTTTTAGCGTGCCGACGTAAGTGCCCAATCTGCAAACCAGCCGAGACCACGCCATCAACATATTGCTTGATATGAGGCGGGGGCTCACTTCCGTGTATCTGAGCAGCTGCCGCCGCACACACGCGACAGCCAATACCCCAACGCCCACATGTCCGTGTCCCCGCACTTATCCAAGTTCCAAGAGAATCGTTCTCACTGCTGGTTCTCCCCCAAGAAGACGAACACCATTTCTGTTTGTTGCGAGTCCAAACTTGTTTTGCTGAAATTCGGGGGCCGCGTGGCATAGTCCTTGAGCCAAAACGGCTCGTGGAACTTCCGACCTAAGTCCGCCGACCCCTCGTTGGGCCACCAGGAATTGCTGCCGTATTTCAAGGGGGTCGCCACGGTTGGATTCCTTTCGAAACTCGGGTCAAAACGCACCGTTCTTTGCACATATTGCATATCATGTCGCACCAGCCTTATCGTTTGACGCCTAAGCTAAGAAAATGTGTACGACTTGATTGTTTCGTCGTGTTGAACATATCTAGGGCGTGACTGATTTGGTAAGTTTGTTGATCTCACAATCGAGCCCACTATCGATACCACGATCGATCTCACTATCGGTCTAACTATCGATCTCACCATCGATCTCATTATCGGGACACCTAGCATCCCCCTCCTAGGGTCCCCCAGTGCTCCTCCTCCTCCCCCCTTAGGCCCCCCTCCTCCCCCTGATGTTGACCCCGCCAATTTTAATTTAATAACCTGTAACCCCGTCTCCCCTTCCCCCCCTATGTTGGCCCCCCCAATCATAACCCCGCAACCCCGCTAAGCGAGGGCAAGATGAGGAAGCCCGAATTCGAAACTTCGGGGGAAATGCGATAGCGAGATCGGTAGTTAAGATCGAAGAGAGCGTGATCCACCGACGCTTTACTGTGGAAAATTCCCCCCCTCTTCCTCCGGAGCCCGGAGGTCCCCCCCCCAACCTCCGAAAATCCCCCCCCCCCGCTGGACCCCCCCCCTTTCCCCGGCAACCCCCCCCCCTCCCCTACCCCCCCCCCCGGAAAACCGGGGGGGGGGGGGGGGCACAAATTAACGGTTCGAACCCCCCTCCTCTCCTCCGGAAAACCGGGGGGTCAATACTAGTTTTAACCCCCACCCACCCTCCCCTCCCGGAAAACCGAGGGGGGGTATACTGGTTCGAACCTCCCCCCCCCCCTCGAAAACCAGGGGGGGTCGGTCACTACCGGTTCGAACCCCCCCCTCGAAAACAGGGGGGGGCCACTACCGGTTCGAACCCCTCCCCCCCAACACCCCCCACGCTCACCGCCAGCAAACGACTCCCGGTCCCTACCACCGTCCGCACCACATCCCCCACTGCTGTCCCCAACACCAGTCCTCACCACCACTGTCCCCACTGGTTCCACCACCGTCCCTACTGTCCCCACCAATGCCCCCACCACTGTCGCACTGTCCCCACTGTCCCCACCACAGTTCCCACCACGGTTCCACTCTCCCCCACTTTCTCCATGGCCCCAACCACTGCCCGACTGTCCCCACTGTCCCCACTGTCCCACTGTCTCCTCCGCTGGCCCACTGAGCTGTCCCACTGTTCCCACCACTGTCCCCACTCTCCACACCACTGTCCCCACTGCACCTCTGTCCCATTGTCCCACCGCCGTCCTCGCCACCGCCCTCACCACTGTCCCCGCCACCACTGTACCCTCCACTGTCCCACTGTTTCCACCACATTCCCACTGTCCCCACACCACTTTCCCCACCACCACCGTCCCCACCATTGCCCTACTGTCCCCACTGTTCCCACCATTGTCCACCACCGTCTGTCCCCACTGTTCCCACCATTGTCCCCGCTGTCCCCACCAGTGCCCCCAGCAATGTGTCAATCTCTCCACTCTCCCCGGCCCGGCGGCGAATGGGGGGGGGATTCGAACCGGCAACGACCCCCTCTCGGTTTTCGAGGGGGGGGGGGGCGGTTCGAACCGGTGATGACCCCCCCCGGTTTTCCGGAGGGGAGGGGGGTGGGGGTTCGAACCGGTAGTGACCCCCCCCCCTTTTCATGATGGACTGGGGGGGCGGGGAGGGGTTCGAACCGGTAGTGACACACCCCGGTTTTCCGGAGAGGGGGGGGGGGTCGAACTGGTAGTGACCCCCCCGGTTTTCCGCCAGCAGCGGTAGAACACGCTCTTTCTAAGATCGACAGAGAGTACGATGGTGATTCCGATAGTAGCTGCGATGGAGTGGAATCGGCAGCCAAATAGAGAGTGGTAGGGAGATCGATGTTATTACGCCAAATGCCATGTCGGTTTCCTTCTGTGCCCACCCCGTCTCCTGCTAATGTCCTATTCCACCATGTATTCCTCCGCTTTTTCCCTCGCGCTCCAGGTTGAAAATAGTGACGGCGGCGAGGGCAGAAGACAGGGAGGGAACAACCGAGAGGGAGAACGGGCGGAGCAGGAACCTTATCAATGAGCATGGAGGAGCCATAAGGGATGGCACTTTCGAATTACATCGAGTTCAGGGAGACTGGTAACGTTATTATGGATGGGGTTACTGTTCGCTCTTCCTGCAGTGGTGCCTGGGGGGGGAGGGGGCTCTCGGAGGGGCGCCACCCAACTAGCGGCCGTTAGTCAGCCAACATAGTCGAAAAGTAGCGCGAAGCCCCACTGTGGGCGGAGGACTTCCGAAACCAGGAAGCAAACAGGGGAGGCGCAGGAGAGGAGCGGAGGAGGGAGGCGGAGGCGGAGGCGGGGGAGGGAGGAGGAGGAGGAGGAGGAGGAGAATGAAGAGGAAGAGGAGGAGAAGGAAGAGGACGAGGAGAAGGAGGAGGGGGAAGAGGAGGAGGAGAAGGGGGAAGAGCGAGGAGGACGATGAGAAGGGGGAGGAGGAGGGAGGAGGGAGGAGAGGCGGAGGAGGAGGACGGGGAGGAGGAAAAGGAACTGGAAAAGGAGCGGAGGAGGAGGAATAGAAGCAGGAGGAGGAGGCGGATGCCTTCCGCTGTGCGGAGCAGCCCGTCGGCGCGCTGCTCCCCTGGTAGTGCTCCAGGACACCAGCGACCACAGCCTGCGGGTCGCCTCGTCTTCCTCGCCCTGCGTCCTCCTCCTCGTCCGCCTCCTCCTCCTCCTCCTCCTCCTCCTCCTGCTCGTCCTCCTCCTCCTCGTCCTCCTCCTGCTCCTGCTCCTCGGCTTCTGCTCCTCCACATTCTCCTCCTCCTTCCTCCTCCTTATCTTCATCCTCCTGCTAGCCATGCCACTGCCACTCAGTCGTCCGTCTCTGCTCCTCCTCCGCCGCCCTCCCCTCATCCTTCACGTTTCCTACCTCCTCCTAGCCCCTCCCTCCTCCTCCTCCTCCTCAGCCACCCTCACCTCCCTGCGCCTCCGTCCCACTCTTGGTAAACAGCCCCACTTCGCACCACCAGACGCGGATGAGCTCCCCCCAGTCGCGCAGCGAGGCACTACCCCCTCCGCGGGACGAGACCTCTCTCGAATCTCAGAGCAAGGCACCCGCGGATGCGCAATCCTCAGTCGCATGAAGTGGGGCGTCACACTAGTCGCGGGGCGAGACACCCACCAACCTGTCGCGGAGCGAGACCCCTGCCGATGCGACGCATCACGCCTTCCCCAGTTGACGGAACGGGGCCGCGTGGGGGCGTGGGCAAGGAACTTCCCCCTCGGGCGCAGGCGAGGCAGGAGTTTGAGGAGCTGGGACCAAATTGGCGCCAGCGCGCACTTGAACATCCCAGACCCCCCCGCAATCCTGATTAGGTGGTGGTGTGCGTGCGCGCGTGTTCTGGCAAATCCCCCTGCTTTCCTTCCTCATCCTCTTCTCTCTTACTTGACTGGCACATCCTCCTCCCTTTTCCTCCTCCTCCTCGTCTTCCTCCTCCTCGTCTTCCTCCTCCTCCTCCTCCTCCTCCTCCTCTTCCTCCTCGAACTCCGTTTGGCATCGGTCCTGGGATCCAACCCGTGGTCGATCCTGGAAAGTTTGACCCTGGACAACTTTGTGTCGGCCCCTTGTCCCGAGCCTGATACGGCACTCCAGCGGCACCAACTGGCGAAGAACTTCCATCCTCATATCGGAGAGAGCGTAATCCACCGCCGCTTTACTGTGGAAAATTCCCCCCCTCTTCCTCCGGAACCGCGGGGATCCCCCCCCCTTCGAAAATCCCCCCTCCTGCTGGACCCCCCCCCTTTCCCAGGCAAACCCCCCCCCATCCCTAAACCTCCCCCCCTCCCCCACCCTCCCAACCCCCCGCTCCCCCCCCCTCCCCTCCAGAAAACCAAGGGGGTCACTACCGGTTCGAACCCCTCCCCACCCCCCAGAAAACCAGAGAGAGGTCACTACCGGTTCGAACCCCCCCCTCTCCAGAAATCCGAGGGGGGGGGTCACCACCAGTTCGAGCCCCCCCCCCTCGAAAACCAGGTGGGGTCAATAACGGTTCGACCCCCCCCCCTCCCCCTCGAAAACCGGGGGGGGGGGGGGGTCACTACTGGTTCGAACCCCCCACCCCCCCCCTCCCCCTCGAAAACTGGAGGGGGAGTCACTACCGGTTCGAACCCCTCCCCCCCCCTCACCGCCAACAAACGACTCCCGGGTCCCTACCACCGTCCGCACCACATCCCCCACTGCTGTTCCCAGCACCACTGTCCTCACCACCACTGTCCCCACTGGGTCCACCACCGTCCCTACTGTCCCCACCAGTGCCCCATCACTGTCGCAGTGTCGGTTCCACTCTCCCCACTTACCCCACGGCCCCAACCACTGCCCGACTGTCCCCACTGTCCCCACTGTCCCACTGTCTCCTCCGCTGTCCCACTGAGCTGTCTTACTGTCCCCACCACTGTTCCCACTGTCCCCACCACTGTCCCCACTGTACCTCTGTCCCATTGTCCCACCACCGTCCTCGCCACCGCCCTCACCACTGTCCCCACCACCACTGTACCCTCCACTGCCCCATTGTTTCCACTACATTCCTACTGTCCCCACACCACTTTCACCACCACCACCGTCCCCACCACTGTCCCACTGTCCCCACCGTTCCACTATTGTCCCCGCTGTCCCCACCAGTGCCTCCGCCAGTGTGTCAATGTCCCCACTCTCCCCACCATTGTCCCACCACGGTCCCACTCTCCCCACTTTCCCCACGGTCCTCACCACTGTCCCACTGTCCCCACTGTACCCACTACTGTCCCACTGTCCCCGCCGCTGTCCCACTGTGCTGTCCCAGTGTCCCCACTGTCCCCATCACTGTCCCACTGTCCCCACTTTCCCCACTGTGCTACTGTCCCACCACTGTCCTCACCACCGCCTTCACCACTGTCCCCACCACTACCGTCCACACCACGTCCCCACCCCTGTCCCGCTGTCCCCAGTCCCCACCACCACCGTCCTCACCACTGTCCGCACCCCCCCCCGGTTTTCGAGGGGGGGGGTGGTTTCGAACCGGTAGTGATCCCCCCCGGTTTTCGAGGGGTCGAGGGGGGAGGGGGGGGTTCGAACCGGTAGTGACCCCCTCCCTTTTCATGATGGACTGGGGGAGGGAGGGGTTCGAACCGGTAGTGACCCCCTCCGGTTTTCCGGGGGGGGGTTCGAACCGGCAGTTACCCCCCTCGGTTTTCCGCCAGCAGCGGTAGAACACGATCTTGAAGGGTTTCGGATATTTCCTCGGGAGTCGTTTTGATTTCCTCTGGAATTCATGGGACTCCTAAGGATACCATCTCCTGACGTATCCCAAGAAGTTCGTCATGGATCCAGAGGTTGTCCTAAGGAGCCCTTCGCAACACCACGGATTGCAGGGATTCGCTCGGGGATCCTGTGAATCTCCTGGAACCTCGAAATACCTGCATCCTGGAACCTCGAAAACCCTGCCCTCCTCCAAAGGACCGCCCGCCACATTTATCAGCCCTCAGGAGGAGGGACTTCAACGCCTTCAATGCATCAAAAAAGGATAAGTCAAGCAGACCGTCCCTCGCGGCGCCTCAGGAAGGAGGGACAGGAGGAGAAGTGCTCCATTTCTGTTCCTTATGAAGAACTTCTCCCTGTCGCACCACGGGGCCAATTTTTAGGATGGGCCGGGCGTTTTGCCTGAGACTTCCCCACCAGTTATGACTCTGGCGCTTAAACAATGACATCAGTTTCAGACATGGAAGGCGGGTGGTTTTCAACATGTAGCTCTCGTCTTAGCACCGCGCACATTCGTTCTAAACAAATGCAAAGAGTTTCACGGATCGAGGGCGGGTCGTTTACAAGATGTGACTCTCGCCTTAGCGCCGCGCACATTCGTTGTCAACACTTGCAAGAGTTTCACAGATAGAGAGCGGGTCGTTTACAATATGCGACTCTCGCCTTAGCGCCGCGCACATTCGTTTTCAAAACTTGCAAATAGTTTCACTGATCGAGGGCGGGTTGTTTTCAAGATGTGACTCTCGCCTTAGCGCCGCGCACACTCGTTTTCAAACGTTGCAAGAGTTTCACAGATAGAGGGCGGTTCTTTTTCAAAATGTGGCTCTCGCCTCAGCGCCGCGCGCATTCGTAGGATTCAAGACTATTCGGGCGCAACAAGTATGTTGATTCGCGGTGTTGAAGTCCCAGAAAGGGCGTTCTGGCATTCCGGATCGTCAAGACGCCGCAGTCAGGTTGATCCGTGGCGTTGAAATCACGAGAAACATGTTCTGGCATGCTTCAGGGTCTTCAAACGGTCGTCTTCCAACGAGGCAGTTTCCTTTTTGGGAATGAGCCATTGTATGGGGCCTACTATGAAGAGGGAGCTTAGAGGGAGGGTATATTCCAACATCGTTGATGACACTTGGGTTTACACTGGTCGTCCTCCTCCTCCTCCTCCTTCTCCCCCTCTTCCTCCTCCTCCTCCTCCCTCCTCCTCCTCCTCCTCCTCCTCCTCCTCCTCCTCCTCCTCCTCCTCCTCCTCCTCCTCCACCCCCTCCTCCCCCGCCTCTTTCCACACCTCCGACGTCGTGCTTGCTCCAAAGCGCGGCCCCCTGGAGGTGTGGGCCCGGCTTGACGGCCCCAGGGCCTGGCAACAACTCCTAGAACAGTCCGTCGCAAGTCCTGCACGGCGCGAGACTGCCACGTTGCCAGAGGACAACCACTGGCGAAAACACGAGGAGGAGGAGGAGGAGGAGGAGGGGGAAAGGCTCCTCGCCCTCGATCCTCGAACCTTCTGGGGCCGACGACGGCCAGCCTGGTCACCCGAGATTGTGTTCTGACGGCCTCGGGGGGCCGAAACGATACCCCCAAAGAGGGGTAGAGAGGAAGGAGGGTGATGCACTGATGATGCTGCTGATGATGATGACGATGACAATGATGATAGTGATGATGATGCAGATGATGACGATGATGGTGATGATGATAAGGATGATGATGCTGAAGATGATGAGGACGATGATGCTGCTGATGATGATGATGATGGTGATTGCTCCAGCGCTGCTGACATAGCTGGCCCTTCTTGACACGGCAACATGTGGGTCCGAAGCAATACAGTAGGAGCTCGAACACACAAAACGTCCAACAAGAAAACAAACCCACTAATACGTCACGGCTGCCATAACAAAACTATCGAAACCCAAGGAGCGGAGGCAAGCAGGGTGTTTCTTGGCATGGGTTTCCACTGCACTCTAAAGGAATGAGGGTGCGGAAGGGAAGGAGGGAGGATGCTCGCTGCATCCAACGGCAGACGGCCTCACCCAAAGCCTGACTAGCGGCGGCGTTGCTTCACTGTGATGTTGGGAACCAAACGGTGGGAAATCACGAACCACACGTTTTTACATGTCCACTCTGCGAATGAATCGAGCGAAAAAGACAACGCGACTTGCAATAGAGCGAAAACCACGCGTTCACGGACCACCAGAATCTACATCGCCGTCAGCTGGGATGCACAGGAACTTTCGACTTGTGCAAGTTATCATTGGCAACGCGCGTCCGATCCGAACACACTATGAGAAAACAAAATAAGTTCCCGAGCTGCGTGGCCAGAAAACGCCATACTACAAAACTGTTCGGTGCCCGCGTCGCCCCTGGGGGGGCGACGCGCAGCTAGTGTTAGTATG